CCTGCTGCATCAGCTTCTGGTCCTGGGCTGTGTGTCCTGCCCAGGTTCTGCTCACAGTCCTCCCTGCACTGGTGCACATCCCTCCCATGCAGACACAGCTTCAGGGCTGTTTCCCTTCCCTGTCCCTCACTACCACCATGTTCCTCCCTTGTGACCCCTCCAAAAGCAAATCTCTTCATCTCATCTCAGTGCCTCCATGTCCCCAGGAGTGACCCCCTGCAATATCCTAATGAAGGGAACATGGTCTCTCACTCATGGCTTTTCTACAGTGCCACAGTACAGGGAGGTGCCAACACAGAATCCACTGCCCTGTTGTCATCAACTGGCCCGTAAGGGGTGGGGGGTGGGCTATACCCCCCTATTTCTGAGGCAAGAAGGCTGTGACCCCTGCAGGCCAGCGGCCCTCAAGGATGGTTCATGTAGGAATGCTCCCATCGCCCACTTGTGGCCAAGGCATTTGGCACTTGGCAGCTCTGCACAGTGCCACCAGCTGGCTGCCCCTTTGTCCTGGCCAAGGGAGCCTCCACAGCAGCACGATGCCTCAACTGGCCCCCAGTTAGCAGAGCTGATACAAAAATATGCCCATGGCCACCCAGGCTTCTCTTTGGCCCTTTATTTAGTGTGGAACAGCAGTATTTGCTGAATTAATCTCTTCATTTCTCCTCTTCTGTGCCCTTGGCCAAGTCCCTGAGCACTGGCTGGCAGCCATGCTGCAAACCCTTTTAGCACACACTAGTAGGTGCTAGGAACACAGCCTGCAAACTGAAGCTCTGTACCCCCAGGGGATGCCCAGGAAACTGAGCACTGAACCAGGCACCTGGAGTTAGAGAGGTTACCACAAAGGATAGCATAACCCAGGCTAAAAAACTGCAAGTCACTCTTTCTGAGACAGACCTGCTGGCACGCAGACACGAGGGGATCCCACACAAAGAGGGAGAGGTCCTTCACCTCAGTTCTTTCCATTCAGTCAGTTTATTGACAGACAAGCCTGCTCCAAGCAGATTGACCAGGCAGGGCCAACACAAGCAGGCTGCAGGTCAACCTCAGCGCCATGAGGTGGGAGACAGCGCTCTCCAAAAAACCCCTGTGCTGCCTTGGCTTTATGATAGTGCAGCTGTACAAAAGGAGAAAAAAATCAAGTGCTTAAAAAAAGAGGTTGTCCCATCACCATCACTGTAGCCACAGAATGGTCCAGAGAAAGAGGTGGCCAGGGTCCCTCCACGCATGTCATGTCCATCATTCACAGCTAGATCTGTTAAAAAAATTACATACACCCCCCTCCCCACCCTGCAGAATGGGAGCTTCTCATTGATGGTTTCAAAAATAGACATTCTCAGCATCCCTCCCAGCCTGCTTGCCCTCCTCAGAAATGTCCAGCCACAATCTTCACAGAAAACAATCATCATCTTCTCATCAGCCCCAGTTATAGAAATAGATTTTCTGCCAAGCAGGCAAGTAATCCATCAGGGGCCCTGAAACAAGAGAGCAGAGGAATCACACATAGAAAGGCAAGAATTTCAAGCTATATATACAAGCTGTATATATATCCCCCCCTCTCATTATGATACCAAACAATCCCAAACCTCCAGATGAACCCAAGAATAGAACAGTTACTTTTGTCAAGATGGGAGACAACTTTGGGCTGCGGTGGCAGAGACCAGAGCAGGACCAAGTTGGGTGTGAAACATGGCCATGGTGTGGGACACCACTCCCTCAGAGCTGACACATCCAAGATTGAGTGGGAAGGGAGGTCTACAATGTGCAAGGGGAAAATCTGGATGCAGTGAGTCAGGAGGACACTGCTGTGGCACAGGGAAGACAACTCAGCAATAACAAGCAGGTGCACACACAGAAGCAACTGCTGTAGAAGCAACTGCTGTAGAGTGAAAATGCTTATGTAGCACATGGCTTAATGCAGGCTCCAAACCTCCCTGCAAGCACTAACTGGAAGGAAGCAGCTCCTGAGCTAGCCAGCTTTGTGACCTCCCAAAAGAAAGGGCAATGCCATGATGCCAGGCTGATCTAACGCCACATCACTGCCATGAATCACTCCACAGAAGGCTTCACATCAGCAGGGAAGAGGGGGAGGTGGAATTCTGGCCCATAATAAAGGGATCTGCTGGTAAAGGACTAGAAGACAGACACCTAGTTCACCCCTTTAATCAGTTCCTGCCTGTGTTGGTACCTCGAGGCACCCATTTCCCCCTCATGTGTGCATTGCAGACTGGGGATCAAAGGTTCAGAAACAGGGCTGCAAAGCAGGGCTCTGGTGAGGTGCAGAAAGGGAGCCCAAGAGACCAGGCCTAAGTGGCAGAGACCAAGCTCTGCAGCTGGGGAGGGCACACAGAAGTTTACCACTGTGGTTGAGCCAGGAAGCAATTCATCCTTTCCTGTTCCAGTTTAAAACACACACACACACACCAACATAGGGTGCACCCATGCTAATCATTCGAGGAACTTCCCTATTTCTTCAAGTTGGAAACCTATTGACAAACATCCTACCCAACTCCCCTGATTTTTCTCCACCCAACAGGAGCAGGGATATAGCAGTGGGGCCCACTTACGTGTGACAAAGCCAACTCCAGGCACATAATCAGCCAGCAAGCGCAGGAGGAGAAGGATCCTGCCCCTAGGAAGGGAAAG